TGGCTCGCATGGCTCGCGCATTGGCTCGCATGACTCGCTGGCTCGCACTTTGTCACGACCCGTGGCAAGCCATCAATCGGACGAGTTTGCCTGCTTTCCGGGCCGCTTCCAGTGCGCTGGCCAGAGAGTGACACAGTCGATCCGCTTCGGGCAGCATGTGGTCGAGCTGCTCAAGCCTTGCTAAATGACTCGGTGGAACAATCTGCTCTGGTTGGCTCTGTTGCGGCTAGAAAATGTATAAATAACATTCTAAAATCTGCATCTTACTTTCGATCAATACCAAATTCGAGGACATGCAACATTGTAATTGTGTAAAAATTTGAAGTAAATCGGTCTAGTAGTTTTTAAGTTATTGCACCCAGAAGGACACACAGACACACGATGCGCAGACAAACAGACAGACACATACACACACACACACACACAGACGTGCGGTATTGCAAAACACCCTTCACCACTTCTTCGGAGAGGCGAGGGTAACAATGATATATCTATTGATCCTTTGCCCACGTCTATGATCGTTGAAAATGTGAGCATTCTCTTAGGCCTACCTATCGTAAAAATCTTTCATTTATTGGAATCCGGCACATTTCCTGATAGCTTTATTTACCTAACCTTTGAAAACTAATCGAACGGGCGATCTTTACGCAACTGACAACTACTTGTGAGAAAATGATGTATATCCAGTTTTGCAATCGGGATATAAGAAGAACAGAAGCACAGAAACTGCCCTACCAATATTCTGAATGAGATGAATTTAAGCGAGTTATAATACTCTTTCTTTTAGACCTCAGCGCTGCATTTGACACTGTGGATCCGATCATTGGCGATTGCTACAACGAATGGAGGAAAAATTTGGAATTACAGGATCTGCACCCGTCTTATAAATACATATAATGTAACTCACCGTACTCAGTGAATTGTGATTGATGATGTGCTCTCCAAACAGTTTGAGTTGACGTTTTGCTTGGGATTGTTGTTTTTCACCCTGTATATATCAAAAATGTTGATAAAATCAACTCGCTCCTGGTGTTGATTGTTACACTGTTACACTGATGATATCCAGGTTTATGTGTCTTTTAACCCACATTCGTTAGACAGTAAAATACCTTCAATTTTATTACAAAATGTGTACGGTACTATTCGAACATGGATGTGCAAAAATAAGTTGTTTGTGTATGAGGACAAAACTGAACTTCCTTTAATTGGTCAACAATTTGATAAGTTGGTGTTAACCTTGCAGGCATTAAAGCGGTCGATAATGTTAAGATTATCTTTTGATCTATGAAGAAAGATTATTATTAGACTTTTGTAGTTTTCATCAGTTGCATAATATCAGAAGAATCAGCACAAGCGTGAATGTTTCTGCTTTAAGTACTCATAAGTACTCATTCATTTGTCACAAGCACAATCGATTGTTGCAATAGTTTATTTTATGGATTTACCAAGCTGCTAAATTGAGATGCTTCAAAGAATTTAGAATTCGGCGGCCCGTCTTCTAACAAAAACAATTAGAAGGGCTCATATTACCCACGTTCTTTTCGACTTACATTGGTTGCCAATAAACATGTATTGAGTTTAAAATCAACGTTTTAAATTGGAAATGCTTACGTAATACTGGACCATCGTATCTTGCTGATCTCTTACAGGCCACAGTTGTTCTCGATACAGTTTAAGTTCCTATAACGGTATAACATCCTGAACCTCGGGGACAGAAACTTCGCAATTATTATGCTGCATTCAAGCTTTGGAACTGCCTTCCTACTGATTTTAAAAGAACCACTTCACTGAATACATTTAAAAGTAAATTGAAAAAATCTTTTTTTACAAGGCCTTTGATTATATTTCGAAAGTGTAGTTTACCTTCGCCTACTTACAGTATGTGGTGTACTCGACAGTTTTAACAACAACACACAACAACGACACACAACAACTAGATTTCGAGTCTTTAAAGCTTTTGTGCCCCTCTTGTTTTGTCAAACGTCTGCTGGGGTACATATGGGCTGTATTTCAATAGGTGACCAGACCAGTGCTTTTTTAAACTGAGATTTGAATTGATTTACAGTTTTGGAATCAATTACATGACTAGGCAGAGATTTCCAACAGTTAATACTTCTGACGGAGAAAACATTCTGTCTTGCTTTTAACTTTACATGTGGTTTGTAGGTCATGAACTGGTGTCCTCTTGTAGATAATACTTCACTCATATTAAAGAACTTATTTACATCAACATTATCAATGCCTCGCTTTATTTTGAAGATTTGGATCATGTCGGCACGTTGCCTTTTAAACGATATGTTGATAGTTTTAGGTATTTTAAACTTTCCGGATATTCGAGGTTGTGTATAGTTGGTATAAATTTAGTAGGCCTCTGTTGCACCTTTTGTAACATATATTCGTCCCTTTTAAATATGAGACACCAAACTGAATTTCAATATTCAAGAGATGGGCGGAGTATATTTTTATGTAATTGAAGTAGACCGAATTCATCCAATGATGTGAATGTTCTCTTAATTATTCCCAGCTTATTTAACATATTATATAATATATATATATATATATATATATATATATATATATAAAAATCGAAAATTGTTTTGCAACACAGATTAAATCGATTTTAGGAATATAAACCTTTATTACTGGGTTCCAGTCCTTAATTTTTGTCTTAATCAATGAAACTATTAAATATTATATTTTCTTGTGGTAATGCTGACACACACACACATACGCACCCACCCCCACCCACACACACACACACACACACACACACACGGTGGGTGAGTGTTAACCCCTACTTTGAGAATAAGGGAAGTCACTTAGTTCATCTTGGGGGCTCGGGTTCCAGTTACGCGCTGGCTCTGTGGGCTATAGATATTAATGCAATGAATGAAAACTACAAAATCCTTCCTATGTAAACACTACTTAATATTTATTATAGAAAGGAGGATTACAAATGGGAATGTTAAGTTCGGGAAATTAGCTAGAGCAACTACTCATTTGAAATCAAATTGAAGAAAAATTATGATTGTCCATTCACCAACTATAGCGTAGTGTTCGCAATACTCGAAACAGTTTCTGCAAAGTAAATGAAGATGATGATGATGGAATATACAAACGAATAAGTGAAAACAAAAGCGAGAGACCAGATCAAAGTTTACAAATTTAGTTAAGAAAACGCGAGAATTGGCAACGAAAATTCAATTCATTTATTGTCCAGAAATAATACACCATCCCATATTCATTGGACATGGGCCTGGGTGTTAATCCAGTACAAATCTTGGAAATACTCCATCCAACTAACTTTCGATTAGGACAGCAGCCTACGCGACCTCCTTTCTGCTGAGTCGACTCGATCAGATCTGACGGTGTAGACTTCAGGGCCGGCGGAACGTTTTTCAAAGTGGGGCGGGGGGCACTTATAAGCAGACGTGTAACTGGGGTCTTGGGCCAAAGGTAATAATTTTCCCGGTTAGTAATTTGGTGTGATATGTGATCCCCCCCCCCCCCCCATATAGAAAACAATACGACATAGGGCTTATTTTATTATTAACATAGGCCACACACGTGTGTTTGAAACTAAATATAAGCATTTTCATCGTGGTTTTATTTATTACAATCATAGGTCTATTCTTTCATCATCATTACACATTGAGGCCCTTCTTTTAGGTAAAACGATCTGTCTTAAATTTTCTTTCTCAAGTTTGGGACTATTATGTTTTTAAATAACTTAGAAGGTAAAGGAGGGGAAGCACAAGCTTTAACCCTAACAAATGCGCGCACGAAAAATTTTTGTGTTTTTAATTCTAATTTCGTCGGAATTGATCAAAACTCCCTAAATGTGCAATTTTTAGAGGAAATTGGCCTACCTCAACAAGAAATGCTCTTATGTTATATATGGCTACACTCGTTTTTTAAACTGAATATAAGCATTTTCCTTATAGCTTTATTACAAACATATTTATTCAACATCATTACACATTGAGGCCCTTCTTTTAGGTAAAACGATCTATCTTAAATTTTCTTTCTTGAGTTTGGGACTATGTGTTATAACTTCGAAGGCAAAGAAGAGTAAGCACAAGCTTTAACATTAAAAAATGCGCGAAGCGCGAGAAAAAGTTTTGTTTTTTTAATTCTAATTTCGTCGGAATTGATCAAAACTCCCTAAAATATGCAATTTTTAGAGGAAATTGGCCTACCTCAACAAAATATGCGATTTAAAATTGAAGGTTTTCAGGCACTTTCCCGGGTGAAAAAGGCATTCAATGGGGAAAGATTTTCCACAGATGGATAATTTCCCCTTGTCCCCCGGGGGTTACGCCACTGCGGAGAATATCTGGTGGCTTAGATCAATAATGCGCTATGGACACTTTTTGCAGTGGAGAAGGGGTTGCAGGCCGGGGTATTGTGATATCTGTTCATTATATCTTCCTTTTTATTCTTGTCTTTATTTTTCTCTTCTCGTTTTCTTTTTCCTTTCTTTTTCTTTCCCCTTTTCTCTTTCCCTCCCTATCCCCTCTTTCTTTTCTCTTCTTACCCAGCCCGGTAAAAGCCGTCAGGGGGAACAGTCAACATTCCTCCCCCGGGAAATTTCGATTTCTAGATGGCGGGAAATGAGCTTTCCCGACTTCTGACGTGTCTTTAATTACTTCAAAATTCAAGGTTTTCCCATCTTGAAAACGATCAGGTAATTTTTTCCCATTGTTATTACAGTAAATAGGGGTTAGGTGTGTATACATACATAACAATTTAAAAAAAAATGAGTAGTTGCATACGAATTTTCCATAAATCGATGAATCCCAATAAGAAGGGGGGGTCTGGGGGGTTCTTCCCCAGGAAAATTTCGATTCCTAGAAGGCGGGAAATGAGCTTTCCCGACTTCTGAGGTGTCTTTTAAATTAAAGTCATTAATACTTAAATATTAAATACTTCAGAAGTCGGGAAACCTCATTGTCCACCATTTAGAAATCAACATTTTCCCGGGGAGAACTCGAACCTCCCTTTCTCTGGGTTCATTGATTCATTATAATAATTTTCAAGAGGGGAACACCTTGAATTTTGAAGAACTTAAAAGTAATTAAGTTCTTCAGAATTCAAGGTTTTCCACTCTTGAAAACGGTCAGATAATTTTTTCCCATTGTTAATACAGTAAATAGGCCTTATGTGTGTATACATACATAAAAAAAGATTGAGTAAGCTGCCTACGTAGTTTTTCCATGAATCGATAAATCCCAAAAAGGAAGGGTGGGGGAGGGGGAGGTCCTGTGGTTCTTCCCCGGGAAAATTTTGATTTCTGGTGGCGGAAAATGAGCTTTCCCGACTTCTGTGGTGTCTTTTAACGACTTTTAAATTCTTAAAAATTCAAGCCCCCACCCCCTTGAAAATGATTCAATTAATCAATGAACTCCAAAGATAAAGGGGTCCGGGTTCCCCGGGAAAAATTTTGATTTCCAGATGGTGGGAGATGAGCTTTCCTGACTTCTGTAATGTCTTTTAATTACTTTTAAAGTTCTTCAAAATTCAAGGTTTTCCCCTCTTGAAAAAGGTCAGGTAAATTTTTCTAATTTTTTATTTTATGTGTGTATACATACATAAACAAATGAGTAGTTGCATGCGTATTCTTTTTTCCATGAATCGATAAATCCCAAAAAGAAAGGGTGGTCCGGGGGTTTCCCCCGGGGAAATTATGATTCCTAGATGGCGGGAATTGAGCTTTCCCGACATTTGAAGTGTGTTTTAATGAATTTTATGTTCTTCAAAATTCTAATTTTCTAATAGCAACAAA